TGTAGTCACCATGCCATTGAAGGCAAGGGACAAAATATGGCAAAATGCACCATAAATTTCCAGGACCTAAAACTTCAATTTACCAGTTATGCGGTTTTGATGAAGTCATTCAGTGGCAGCATGACATTTTGGAACCAAACGAAGTAATAATCGGCAACGTGCGCCATGCTGTCTTGCATTGAACGCTGACTGCGTCGCAGCGTGACGAGCGCTGAGCTTAATTTGTAGCTGCAGCGTTGATGCACGAACGCTGCACTGCCTGTCTCTTATACACATCTAGATGTGTATAAGAGACAGCACGAGATGAGACCAACGACAGCATTGCTGTCTGAACTGTCAGCACGAGATGAGACCAATGACAGCATTGCTATTTTAAGTGAATGACAACCATTATTTCAAGTGCTATACTAAATTATTCGTTGATTTATAATGGACTAACTTTGCCAGGGATTGAAAGATAACTGATGAGTCTCAAGAAACAACAACAACATTAATCATAGCTCTTGTTTTGAGCCTATGCTTGTCAGTCACGTAAACGTGACGCTGAAATCTGTGTCTTATGCTCTACGGTCGGCAATAAAGGGGATTTTAATTCAGGAGCCATCAAAAAATCAGTCATAATTACAATGTTTTATAGTTTGTACGATGCCAGAACTCATCCTATAATCTATAAACGTTCAGGCGTTGCAAGTCTACCTCTAGCGGCAACATACACGAAACGCTTCATATTTCATGCCACATGTAATTCGACGCTAATTAAGCCTAATCTCATAGTTGATTGTGCGTCAAGTGGATGCAGAGTATACGGTTATTGTTCACTGTATGATGTGTAACTTGCTACTGTCCACTGTCTGATGTGTAGCTTGTTCCTATTCACTGTCTGAACAGCTTGCTACTGTTCACTGTATGGAGGGTAGTTTGTTACTGTCCATTGTATGTCCTGTTACTGTGGCTTACGTATGTGAAGAGTGACAGAAAGTGAAATTTGCTACTTATAGTACTCATTAGGCGAAAAAGTGTGAGGAATAAGGATACATTAAACCATCTATTGCCAAGTTGCCATATCCGTGCTTAAGCTGAGTGTTTTCGTCCAAGTTTTGTTTGTGAATCAAAGTTACCTTTGCAGTCGTAATAATGTGCAGTGCATTTCGTGTCCGGGAAAGTGCTATAACTAGCACAGGCTTACTCACTCGTCTCGATCAAGACCTCTACTTTTCTACATTTTATTTCCTACTTCCTTAACAGTGCTTGGTTGTTCGAAGTTACTGAGGACGAAGATGTGATTTAGATCTCTGCATTGATAAAGAGTAATGCATGTGTATACTCACAACAATACAGCTACACGAGAATTGTGCATAATGGAATTGTATTAAATGTAAATTTCGTATATCTCAATATAGTCTTTCAATATAATAAGGAACATGAAAAACTTACCAGAATTATATAGAGAATTAAATTCATGTAATTATGCGTTAATTTGTTTGAAGAGTTGTTTACAATATCTTAGTCCATCCCCTGACTACTGTTTGTAGGCAAGGTTCCCAGCTATACACGTGGAGCGTTCCCAGCTGTGCACGTGGAGCGTTCTCAGCTGTGCACGTGGAGCGTTCCCAGCTGTGCACGTGGAGCGTTCTCAGCTGTGCACTTGGAGCGTTCCCAGCTGTACACGTGGAGCGTTCCCAGCTGTGCACGTGGAGCGTTCCCAGCTGTGCACGTGGAGCGTTCCCAGCTGTGCACGTGGAGCATTCCCAGCTGTGTACGTGGAGCGTTCCCAGCTGTGCACGTGGAGCGTTCCCAGCTGTGCACGTGGAGCGTTCCCAGCTGTGCACGTGGAGCTACGTGAGACGTTCCCAGCTGTGCACGTGGAGCGTTCCCAGCTGCGTACTTGAGACGTTCTTCGCTCTCAATGAATGCATTCAAACTAGCAAAGGTCACACGCTGTGTGCTTCAGAAGTGCGACATGTTCATGTTCACACAAGCGAACCTTTTATCTGATCGTTTGAAAAATATTCATTGATACTTGTTAATCTTTCGTACATGTGACATTTAGCGTCCTTATGGACGTATGCGTTCACTGACAGTAGTAATGCATACAATATTCTACATATCCTTATTCAACGAATATAGCTGTGGCGTAAAAGTTTAATATTTTTTAACGAATTAAAATTTCTCAGTTTGAAGTAAAATTAAAATAAAGGCTTTAAGTCGCTTCGGTAGAGTTCTTTGTCAGCATGAAGAGGCCGCCTGAATGCTTCGTCCATATCATTTTTAACATAGATAATAAATTTATACTTCTCGTTCAGCTTACTATAAGTTCCTTAACTAAGTATCTCCTAAAAATATTACGAAGTAAGTATTTTCTTATCGTCTTATAAGCATTTATATCGATCATAGCCTGAGAGTTCTCTGCCATCCACCGCCGTTTGCTGAATTACTTATTCAATAATTTGTCGTGACATTTACTGATGCCTTCTTGCTTGCACCAATAATAGAACATACGTATTTTCCTTTCGTTATATTTCGTGTACGAAGATAGACGCAGTTGTCATTTCTAGAGTTCAGAATTCACTGTTTCTTATTTGTCAGAGGCGCTGAACCAAATCAAACTCATCGATTCATTTTGTGCTTCCGAAGCACGTGTACAAACTTAATTACAGTCGTACTCAAGTTTTGTGCTGCATTCGGATTCATTTCTGGTGCTTTGCACAGGGTTTATCTCTGTATTTTATATTACCTGTACAGTACTGAATTTATTGTATAAACTGTCCGTGTATATACAACTAAGCTGCGTGTTGTCCTTTTAATACATTATTCGAAGTTACTTTAAAGTTAATTCACCTAAAAATATTTTGAAATAGGAGAGGTACGGTTTGTTCTCTTGTCTTGTAAGCTATGACACTTAATGATCTTCCCGCTCGCTTCAAGGAACCTGGGTAGAAACGCCGCTAAAATGCAACTGAAGTTTACTGCGGCAAAAATTGCTTGATCATCTATAGTGCGAGTAGGTAATAACTAAGAGTAACCTCATAGCTTGCGGTAATTGAAACGAATGAATTATTAAAAACAAACCTGTAGCATGTATTACTATTACGGTAAATTAATAGAAATAAATTTTGTGTAACTCATCTGGACAATACGTCATTTTTAACGAATCTGTATAGAGAATGCAAAAGAGGCATCATTTATAACAAATCTCTGTAAGGAAATTAAAACGTATGTTAGTCGAAACAAATTATGTGTAAGTAAATTAAACATCGCATCATTTTTAACAAGTCATTGTATGGAATTTCCAAATGCAACATTCTTAACAAATCTCTTGAAAGAATCCAAACAATTCATAACTAGAAAAAATCTTGCTAAGGAGTGTAGACAACGGCTCATTCGGAAACAAATTTAAGCTCAGTAGGAAATGAAACAATGCCTCAAAAGAGGATGCTGACCAGGAAGCCAATGTATACAATTATCATCAAGTGAACTATACTCGGCCGCTATTTAGAGCTGCATTGTCCATGGTCTGCCTTTAGCAATCATCACCGTAAATATCATAAAAGCAAATTGAATGTCAAGAAATTCCGCCCTATTTTCTTGTAAATTGTGAATTTTCTCTCTACTAACTTGACTTTTTGGATTTTCAATAATTTCGTGCTTTTGAAACCATATCAATTCAAAATCGGAAAAATGTTACGCAACTATCAGGATTGATAATGAAATATAAAAAAGGACTGAAATTTGACTTGAAAGACTAATGCCAGAAGACGCTTCCACTTCTCTTAATAAGTCAACGAGCGTGATTATCTTTAAGCTGATCCCATAGGGAAATGTAGCAAAATTCATTCAGACATCATTATTTTTAAATAACTGCAGGAAATATTTAGAATATTTTTATTTCTGTCTCGCATTTTAGTTTGTGTATAAAATTCCTAAATATTGGCAAATAATTAATCGACGCTGTTCATGAAAATTTGACATGATAGGTCTTAACCAGCTTAGTCTAACTACGGCAAGGAAGGAGGGAACGATGAAAATATTTTAAATTATTTATTTGAATAAGGACGATCATTTCTACATAAAAAGCTAAAGTTAATACAAAGAATTTTTGAGTAGAGGTCAACCCTGGTATCGTCTCTCAGGAAGCTTAGTAATGAGTTAGAGAGCTACAGCGTAGGAGTAGGAAACATGTGAGTAAGAAACCGATTCAGACTTTTTCGCATATCTTAATTTCTTGATATGATCGTTACTGCATGAAGTAATATAAATGATCAATTACGAACAATATGATATAATATAAATTGCATATATTTTGTTCAATTTAATTAAATATAAATAGGACAATGCTTAAAAGTACAATAGAATTTCAAGGTTGGTCCCGTTCGAAGTCAATTTATAGCACCGGGTGCACTCGCTCACTTGCATCAAATATTTTACAATGAAGAAACTACTTATTGCATTTGGTCCCTTTATTCCTGTAAGATGAAGACAACATCTATAATTATTAGGGAAGTCTTAGTTGTGCGCGTATACTTTTGTTGCATACACTCAAAGTCATTTATGATGCTTAAAATGCTCATCTCATAATTGATTGTAGTAAAATGTTGCGCCCTTGTAATGAATCAAGAGGTTGTCATGATGAAAGATTCTGTAGATTTTTTCCCCACATGAAAAATAAAAATATTCACTGGCGACCCGATTCGTCTTGGTTTGCCGAACAAAAACTTGTAACATTTTGTTTGCCCAAAAAATTGCAAAAATTTCTCATAAAACTTTGATTTCCATGTGAATTAATAGGTTTTTCTTCTTCTACCAATGGCACTGATAGAAAAGATGGAAATCAATACATATGGTAAGGTTTTTATCGCTCAATAGAGGATATCTAACCCTCAGGTTTATAGCCACATTCAATGCAGGGCTCTAATGGTAGCCATGGTGACGGAGCTATATTGAACTGGTCGGCCTCAGCGATCAAGTCAGATTCACGCTATGAGAATGTTTAATTTACTATGTAATAATAATATAATAAAATTGATATGATTCGCAAAAACCTGCCGCGTAACCTCAGTTTATTTACACGAGAGTATTTTAAATATTTTTAGAGGTTTTTAGTAGATTCACAGGTCGATCTGTAACTCTGTTGATAAATTGTTTACCTTTTCCTTGGGAATCTTTACTCGAGAAAGTTGAGTCAAGCTCCTGTTAATTCGCAAAACAATGTAAATAAGAGAAAAACTTTCAATGTTGCTGCCTTTTTAGCAAGAATTAAAACATGAATCCAACGCAGGAAACTTTGAGACAGCACCGCTAGATAAAGTTCTTAGTGGAGAAAATATAACCTATAACAAGGAATGAATAACAGGTAAATTTATTCACTTATTCTAAAATTTACAAAGTTTCAACAGCAATCAACTAGAATTAAATGAATAATCGCGTCCCCGCGTTCATGAACTGGTTACTTTAATTCGAGTTAGTTCTCTGGTGGTTCAACTGGCTGTTGTTGCTGTTGCTGTTGCTCCTGTTGCTGTGCTTGACTGGCCCGCTTGTCGCTGTAGTAGCTGACGGAGGCCCGGGCGAGGGCCTTGATGCTCGGGTCGCTGTGCTTCGTCAGCTCCAGCATGCGGTTGGTTGCGAGCTGACGCTCCAAGGGCGCTACTGAAAAGCCCGCTTCCGAACACCGCTGCGATGGGGAAATTACTTCATCATTATTTAATTAAGCCTAAAAATGTTTACTTCTTATGAGTTATTTTAACAAGCACGTTTTTATTTGAATCGTATATTTAACGTAACTTCTAAAGTAGGAAATACTGACCTAATATAAATAATTAATACATCTAAATAAATCTTTTAATAAAGTCTTTTATAATACATAATAATTTACTAAAAACTACCTGAAAGGTTCACTAAAAATTAAAATAATAACTTTTGGCCACTAAACAGCGGCAATTGAAACCTAAATGTACACAATAATTTACTAAAAATTGCCTGAAAGGTTCATTAAAAATTGAAATAGCAACTTTTGGTCACTAAATAATGTCGAATTAAACCTGGATGGCCGTGAGCAGAGCCTCCAGTCCGTTCATGATGAGGACAGGATCGTCCTGCTGCAGCAGGAGGCTCAGCGCCACCACGTACGGCTTGTCCACGGCCACGGCAGGCAGGCGCTCGAGGACCGTGTCACGCGCCACTGCCACCGCTGCCACGCCCGCCACGCGCGTCACGGTCGGGTCGCCCTGTACGATGGGTGTCTAGTTAAAAATGATTAAAATAACTCCGGATGACGCATCATGAAAATTATTTAAATAATTCCGGAAGACGCATCATCCACGTGAAAATAGAATTATTTTTTAATGTAAACGCGGTTTTGTCGAATATTTCCTAAAAGTTCAAATCTCATGGAAAATTTTGAGGGAAAATGGCTAAATATTGGTGCTGAATGTTAGGAATTGCGCCTTCTGGTACATAATTACGATGTTGGAATAGTTACTCAGTTAGTCCACCCGTTTTTCACATTATGCCTTCTACCGTCTTATATCCATTTATATTAACTTCTACCATTCTATCCTAATATTTGAGAAACCTGACACTGAACGCAGTTCCATAGTATAACAGTCATATTTTCCATGCATAAACTAAACTATTCGATGAAAAACAGCAATACACTGAACGCAGTTCCATAGTATAACAGCCATATTTACCATTTATTTACTAAATTTTTCGATGAAATGAAACAATTTACCCTCTGCATCATGAGCGCCAGGCCCGTGGGGAGGTCGGCGTCGAGGGCAGCGTTGAGGAGCTCCTCGTCCCCGGAGTTGACGATGATGCCCAGTGCCTTGACCGCGTCCTTCCTGATCGCCGTCACGGAGCTCGTCGACAGCCGCACCACCGAGATCACGACGTTGCTGCGCAGCGCAACTGTCTTCTGTGCCACCAAGATGGCGGTGAATTGTATCAAAAGATGTAGTATTTACATATCAAATTGAGCAACGGTGTCATGTGCTTTCAAAAATACAAAAGCTTTAACATAACTTTAGTGAACACAATAATACCGCGTTAAAGACTGCTTATTTCCAAAAATTATACTTTACCAAACATAAAAGAATAGTCAAATAAACATCAATGTTTGTCATTTCGCTTTGCATCAATAAATAATAATTAGGTATTGCAACACACATTGTTGAACTCTCAAGGGAGCTAGGTAAAAGCATTAAGAGTATTTTAAAATTGCTATCTTTGTCCGTGTTGCCCGATTGCTTGATTGCTAGCATGAATGTATGATTGCATACTCTGTGATTTGGGTCTTTAAGGAGATTGGTGATGACGAGTAGGGCAGGCTTGATGAGGTTTGGGTCGCCGGACCGCAAGTTTTCTTCAATGCGCGGCACGAAACCAGAGTCCACAACCCAGTTGACGTGGTCTTCACCGGCGTCCGTCATGAAAGCTAAGGTCCAAAGGGCGTCTGCAACGAGAATTAAATAAAAAAAAGAAGTAAATAAAAAAATTTTGTAATTCTGTGTAAAAGTAAATATAAAAATTGTATAAAATTACCTTTTTAGTGGTAACAAAACTAATATGCCTCTACAGTATTATGATTAAAGGGGGTCGTATAAAATACTTTCTATGCAGCAAGAACGAAACAATATATTAATCAAAAAATTAATTTTTTTATTAGAAGAAAATATTTCGTCTCTAACAGCTACAATAATTTCAATTAAAAGGACTCAAATGAGAATACAAGGCACAAGAAACAACTTATTACTATGTTCGGTCTTTAATTAACGGTCTTCCTTTTTTGAACCTTCTAACTATATTCCCACAAACGCTGCCTTTTCGGTGTTTATTTGCGTTTAACATAAAATATACTCCATTATTACATATGTTTCATATGCTAAGGATGTTCAGTTCCTTGGAAAGTTTATGGCCCTCAGTTAGAGAACTGGGGCCATACTTTCAAAACTCGGTAAGTGAACGTAAGTACTTACGCTCTACTTTCTTGTCTATGATTGATGGATTTTGCTTGAAAGCCCCTCAATGATTGGCTGATGAACTTACGATCTCTTAACTTTTTTTGAAAGTATAAGCCCAGAGCAGTTGTCTTACCCTGCATGTCTTTCTTGTTGTCCCCGAAGAAGAAACCTGTGATGGCCTTCCTACACATCGCCAGCTCGCCGTCCTCTAACTTCCATGGCTTGTGTCTAAATATGTTCGTGAATGTCCAGCATAGATTCTCCAGACTCTTCTCCTGTGAGCGCCGGTTTAAAAATATGTTATAAAACTCAAATCATTCACTGTTTTTGTTATATATCCACCTTGTGGGATGTATTAACTCGAATATTTAATCAATCAGTTCAAATATTTGCGCGTAAATGAAAGCGACGCATTTTAGAATTTTTCATCTAATAAAATTTAAAATTTACTTGAAAAAAATATTGATACTTATCATTCAAATTGCATGACATTCGTGCATAATAGAATAATAATGATTATTCTATAATCATTATTATATGTTTTGTTATAATCATTATATGTTTATGTTTTTTCATAAATAATTTGGACATACAGCAAGAGACACGCAAATCTTACCTTTGAGTCTCTGAGGAAAAGATCGTACAGCCTGGGGATAGCCTGTTCCTCCACCACCTTATCCCTGAGCTCACGACTGTCACCCAGGATGTTGCCCACCACCCACACCGCCTGCTCCCGCACCTTCGAACTGCTGCTCGACAGTAGCCGCAGGAAAACAGGTACGAAATCTGCATCTGTGTGTGCAAACAATGGGAAGGATAGAGGCCACATTAACAATTTTTAACGTATCAGGTCAAAATGACCTCACACAGTGTTTGAAGGTGGCGTACGACTGCAGAGCTTCTAGTGTTAACAAAGTATTTGTATATCGTTGTCATATAAGAGTAGACTTCAGAATAGGATAACAATATTTATTCTTGAGCTCTCGAATCTTCAAACTATTGGATTCGTCATGACGTTTCAATAATTTTGGGGTCAAATTTTTAATTGTAATTTTAGAATACCACCGATTTGTCGATCTGCTGTACTGATATCGATTAAAATCTCATAATATAAATCTTCTTATAAATAGTTAATAAATTTCGTAGTATTCAAACGTCGATAATATATTAAAATGTCTCTCCTCCTTTTCCATGAACCGAAAGCAGCGATTAATTTCGTTCTGCGAGCGAGAAATTTAAAAACAAACAGGGGAATATTTAATAAAATCCACTCTCTGGTTTTCAATCGAACCTGCATATGATAGTTAAATGACAAAAGTATCGTCTTCTTCTCTTATGAACATCGATGCTTACCCACAACGGCCTTGGTTTGTTCTGAGGTGCCACTGGCGATGTTGGTGAGTGCCCACAGCGCCTCGAACTGAAGTTGTGGACTGAAAAGAAAATTAAGTATCATATGAAAAAATGTCATGATCTTAATGAGTCAACTAAGCCTCCGACTGTGAAAAAATATTTCACATTTTTCTTTACCAGAAATGTCTTGCTGCCTATTGTCGGGACAAACTATCTTGGAGGAAAATACCGGTAACATTTACCTCATCAAACTCAGGTATAAATTCATCAACGCCGTCATAAAACGGAATTATATTTATGAGTATTTTATGAAAGATATTTTACTTGTGTTGTTTCTCAAGGCAAGCTTTGAGGGGCGGCAAGACGCCCGCCTTGAGGAACTCGTCAATGGGCGTGCCATCGTTCCTGGAGAGGAGCTTCCTAGTGCGCTTCACGGCGGCGAACTGCTCCTCCTCGCTGCCGCTTCTGATCACCGCCACCATCTGCTCGTACGGCGCCAGCGTCTGCCAAGAAGTCTGGAAAATTATTATCAGTTACTTATTGATAGTGAAATGTTAAAAGCGAAAAAAATGTTAAAAAAAGCGAAGAATTCTTTGTCAAAAATGTTAAAATATGTAATTGTAGGGGGAAAAAAGCGAAGAAGCCTTCATCGTAAATTTAATTGTGAATTTTATTCTAACTTGCCGAAATTTTAGTACTTTTTTTTTCTTTTAAATTGAGAGTAGGGCAAAGAAAGAACCTCTGGATGTTTGTATTAGCTTATTTTTGTACTAACAGCAATGGTTGCACTACGGCAGCATAATCAGAGAGTAATAATTGATCATCATTCTACCAAAAACGATATTTATACCGGAATATTCTACGCTTTAATTGTAATCTGATGCCAATAACAATTTATCTCCAAAAGCTTATTAAATGCATGCTGTGAGGATAAATGCCCACAATGTGTAACAATGCTCACTCCAACTTAATGGTTAAATCTCATATGGAATCTGAAACTTGTACATGATCCCTTCTGAGAAGCAAATGAATCCATTATTAGGAATTTTACTTTCATGTTTTGACATCGAGCAAAAATTATAGTTGTCAGTTTTTTTGTCTCGACCCCTTAAAAAAGACGGCCTCGTCGTAAGACTTTGATGAAGTGACTTAATGCAAGAATCAGTTACGAGCAACAAATTAAATTACAAAAAATAACAACTAATTAATGTCTAACTCACCTCCTGCTGTGGAGCTGCCTCAGCCGCTTCGCTTTGCATTCCCTGTGGCCAAAAAATCGTTAAATATTAACTAAAATCATGAATGATATTGATGAACAATGTTAACGTTGCATGATTCCACACCTTAGTTATTTCGTAAACCACGTCGGCGAAAATAATTCAATTGTCATGCTACTGAGGCTGCTCGAAATTGACGTGTGAGAAATTTTTCGCAGATATTGTAGATCGTATGCATATATTTCATAATTTAAAGTCCACAAAAATTATTCAGCAAAAAGAACAACTTTCTTGTAATTTGACATGCTATGTCCATTCACATTACCTTATCTTCGACGTCGGGGTTCTCTTCTTCGTGTTGGCTAACCTGCGGATATGATCATTCTTATAAGCTTCGCGTATTTTTAAAATAATAATTAACTTTTACCATGAATGAATGAATTTATTTTTGCTCGGTGAATGAAGTCGATGAATTAATTAATTATAATACCAGCTTCAAGTTTGCGCGGATGGTTAAAAACAGTCAACTGTGTAAAAGCAACGAGCATGACCTTCAGCATTACCATTGCAACCATGTTCAAAGATTTTTTCATAAAAAGCATACGATTTTTTAACTCAATCGACGACTTCAAAAGGACTTTGATGAACAAAATTTTTCAAATAATAATTTATATTATACAATAATATTTATTTTTCGGAGTGATCTTTAAGATCGATTAAGGCGGGACCGTAAGATATTTCTTGAGTTGACAAATTGTCCTTCGTTGCATTTAACTATACACGCTCACCGGCTCAGCCTCCGCGTTGTGCTCCTCTTCGGGCTCTTCTTCCGAGAGCTCACCGTCGGGATTAATAATGAGTATGTCGTAATCCTGTAATAATATAACTCATTAACTCATAAGACTCGTCAAGATTGATGAAAATAAAGTCATCTTGTAATAATAGTAGTTAGCAAATCATATCGCAACGAAATGCACGCCTCGACACCAATATTCACATGTGAGTTGAAGTGAAAATCCTCATCTTTCACAACGACATTTCAAAAATGTAATCTGTATTCAATTTGTATTGAAATATTCCTAAATACTTAGTAAGCTCAGGAAGTAAAGCTCGGAATCCACAAGGACTGCTCGCATTAGACAATTCCATTCTCTCGGTAACAGTGGTTGGTTTAATTCTGCGAAAACTACAGCATTTTCGTGTATTTAACAATGTAGACACGAGTCCAAAGATTCAACATACCTGATTTTCCTCTTCATTATTGTCAATGGCGTTCTGTTCTGTTGTTTCTTCCTCCTTTTCTGAGCTGGCTTCAGCTTTATCTCCTTCCGGGCCAGCCTCTTCATTATTTGTTTCACCTTGCCCTTCATTTGTCTCTGTTATTTCAACGGGTTCGTCTGAAGGAGCTTCAAGAGCTGCTGCCTCAGCCTCCTCACTCTCAGCTTTGTCTGCTGTCGGAGAATCATCACCGTCAGCCGAAGCATCCCTCTCGACCATAGATTCTTCTGATAAGTTTCCTTCAGCTTGAGTATCATCCAAAAGTGCAATAGTTTCAGGAGCTTCTGCAGATGCTTCGTTTGAGTTTTCCTCAGCTGCTCCTGTATTGCCAGCTTCAGAGTTTTCGATTTCAGCATCACCGGCCTCATATTCTTTTAAAGATGGGGTACCTTCAGTTGCCGCTTCAGCTTCAGTTCCCGCTTCAGCATCAGTGGCCTCTTCAGCTCCAGTTGCAGCTTCTGCTTCAGTTTCCGCTTCAGCTACCGTTTCTGTTTCGGTTTCTGCTTCCGCTTCAGCTGCCGTTTCTGCTTCAGTTTCCGCTTCAGCTTCATTTTCCGTTGCAGCTTCAGCTTCAGTTTCTGTTTCCACTTCAGCTTCAGCTACTGGTGCCGTTTCAGCTTCAGTTGCCGCTTCAGCTTCAGTTTCCGGCTCAGCTTCAGCTGACGTTCCAGCTTCAGTTTCAACTTCAGCTTCAGTTGCCTCTTCAGCTTCGACTTTACCTTCAGCTTCAGTTGCTGCTTCAGCTTCAGTTGCTGCTTCAGCTTCAGTTTCAACTTCAGCTTCAATTGTCTCTTCAGCTTCAGTTGCTGCTTCAGCTTCAGTTACAGCTTCAGCTTCAGGTCCTTCATCATCGGCTGGAGCCACATCTGAACTATCATCTAACATTGCTGTTGCTTCAACTTCTGTTGAAGAAACTACGTCAGTTTCTGTCGCAGGTGCATCATTTTCTGCTGCTCCTTCTACAGCAACATCATCTCCTACTCCTCCAGCAACTTCTGCTTCTTCTGATTCGGCGGCATTCTCTTCTTCTGCTGTTGCATCTTTGTCTGTTACAAGTCTATCATCTTCTGCCTCAGTATCATTATCATTTGGTGCTGCAGCTTCATCATCTTCTGCTCCTGCTGCATTATTATTTGCTGCTGCGGCTTCATCATCTTCTGCCTCAGCTGCAATATCATTGGCTGCTGCAGCTTCATCATCTTCGGCAGTTGCAGTATCATTTTCTTCTGCAACTGCATTTTCTACTTCGCCTGCTGTACTTGCAGCTTCCGCTTCTGGCGTAATGACCTTCAATCCGTCATCGACTTCTGTAGCAGATCCTGGAAGCTTATTACTGGCTGAGGGTGAACCCGGTTGAGTTCCAGCAGCGTTTACAGACTCATTGTCGACTTCAGTGCCGTGTTGTGTCAAGCTACCTAAATTAATTAAATCTGTTCCTTCACTTTCTTCTACGGCGAGTAAACTTTCAGCTTCTGGGACTTCTCCGTTTTCGTTGAGTGCTGCAGCATTTATTGCGTGGAGCGACGCGCTGTTTAAAGATGCTTCCAAAAAATTTGCAGCAGCTTGTTCGCTCATGCCCTGAAAATAGTGTACTACAAGTCAGTTTATATAGTCTAAAACCTTGAACAACTTTCACAATAAATGCTTCCACTTTTACGTCTGGCACAATAAGCACGGAATAACGCACTCTAGTTCCTGTGTAGACCTTTGCCTATTGAGATTCTAGGATCTATTAACGACTGACGAGTAGTGATGAAATTTTCTAAGTCGGAATGATTAAAGGATCGATATATTGATGAGACCTATTCTTAAAGCCATCGAGTCCTCATCTCTGATTCTGAACGTTTTCCAGCTAGCGTTATCGACCAGTTCGGCAGTTTTTTGAGCAGTTTTAATGTCTTCTATGCCCCGAGTGATGTTGTTGTCTGTGCCATCATTTTATTTCTTTTATGAACCTTACGAATCATTTGATACGCACTGCGTATATCATGTATTCACTTATTTTTAGCGATACCTAAAATTCATAAACATTCATGTCTATTCTTAGCAGCGTTCATTGTCAAGTTCAGCGATTGGTGAACTCACTTAACAGTATTTCGAGTGTGTGTGGAAGATTTTATTTGTTCTAGAATATTTCCATGAGGCTATTTTTTAAAATATATTAAAATATTCCAACAAATTGCTCTCAGGCCAGAGACTGACGCCAAAGCCGACAGCTGAGGCTCTTGTCCAGTGTATACCTTGCGTCCAGTGCTGCGTCCTGAAAGGCTCCTACCGACACCCACGGCCTCTGGAGCGCCATTGATGGATCTGATGGATGCCGACCGTCTCACTCTAGGGTGACAAATTAGAAGACACTGTGAGTTAAAGTAAAGTGTGAGTTAAATTTATTAACATTGTCAGATAACGATTAAGTGATTGCATTTCAGGAAACCTTGGAACGTTCAGTGTGAATAACCAATCCCATGAAGAAATAATGGACAGCTGTAAGCAGACAGACTACTGACAGTGCACAGGCAGCTCTAAAAATTTGAAGAAAAAAATTTATCGAGCTGTTTGTAGCAAGAGATTATTTTAGAGTTTTATTTGTTGAAAACATACGCCGAGTTAACGATAGCGACGTCAGGCAGCGGCTCCGTGGTTGCTATGGAGGTCGAGGGCGGCGACTTTTTGCTGCCATCGCTGTGTGATGAAGACGAGGGTAGAGAGGGCAGCCAGCCTGCTGGACAACCCATAGAAAAGTTGAACACTGGATGCAGATTTGTTCAATATTTGCACTTAAACTATATTGTTGCGGATTGAATTTTTAGACACTTCAATAAGAAGAGGTTTGTAGCAACTTTAATCTCAAATAAAAAAGCGAACTACTGCACAAAAAGAAGTAGCATAATTAGCAGTAGCAAAGGCTTAACGATCTACCGTTGCAAATATTGCCTGAAATATAGATATACCAATTTCACCATAACCTATTCTAAATTAGTGGGCGGTATTAGTAGAAGTAAAAGTAAAAACATTGCACATACAAATATGTTCAGAAAACAAATACCAAGCAGTAAATCTTTACGAGTTATTTATATTGTTGATGCCATATATGCAGGATAGTTCACCTCTCTGGTGCGGGTGCGGAGAGCTGATGTCGCTGCCGGGCTGTGACCGCGACCGAGGGACTCGCAGCGTCTGAGCGAGGCGAGCGACGCGTTCCCTCTTCTCGCGTACGTCATCGCGCTGTTCATGTTAACGTGCATTATTTATACTTGTAATGGTAATTTAATAAATATAATACCATGTCATTTGAAGCTGATTAACGTGCATTATTTATACTTGTAATGGTAATGCAAAATATATAAAACCATATCATTTGAAGCTGAGTAACGTACATCATTTATACTTGTAATGGTGAAGCAACAAAATATATTATCTTATTATTTAAAGCTGAGTAACGTTCATCATTTATGCATGTAATGGTGAAGCAACAAAATATATTATCTTATTATTTAAAGCTGAGTAACGTACATCATTTATACTTGTAATGGTGAAGCAACAAAATATATTATCTCATTATTTAAAGCTGAGTAACGTACATCATTTAAACTTGTAATGGTAAAAGAACAAAATATAATACCTTATCATTTGAAGCTGATTAATGTGCATCATTTATACTTGTAATGGTAATGTAATAAAAATACAATACAACAAAATACAATTCCTTAAAAATAAAAATAGCAACAAAATATAATTCCTTAACGTTTAAAACTGATTAGCGTACATCATTTATGATTGTAATGGTAATGCAACATATATAATTCCTTATCATTTTAAGCTGATTAACGTGCATCATTTGTGATTGTAATGGCAGAACGGTACAATATAATACTTAATAACAAAAAGTTGACTTAAAGACGCGGATATTTATAAGTAAAGCATGGTTTTGTTACAATATTCAATTATGTTACAATATTGTGCTAAAAAAATACGATCTATTTAATTGAAACTATTTCGGAAGTTCTGAACATAAAAATAGGAAGAAAAAAGAAGAGACCTGTGACAGCAAAGCTAAGGTTGGTTCAATATCTTTCGACATATTAAAGAAGCAAACAAGCCACCATATCCCAGTAGTAGGTAAGCCCCCAGATTAAAGAAGTGAGCAAGCCCCATATTAGAGAAGCAAGCATGCTCTTATTAAAGGAGTTAGCAAACGCTCATTATAAAGTAGTAAGCGACGTAGTAAGTAGTAAGTAAATGTCTAACGAAGTCGCCCCCATTAAAAAAGTGAACAAGGCCCGAATTTCAAAGAAGTGAACAAGCCATCATTTTGAATAATTAAGTAATCCAGCATCAAGAACTATCACGTACGGTGACAGGGCGAGCAAGAGGTGAGGTAGAGTACGGGGATGACGGCCGACGGAGGCGTTTGTTAGATGGCGGCTGGTGAGGGTATGAGGGCACCTCCCCGGCCCGGCTGGGGCGCTTGGGGATCCTCCTGAGCACTCCCCCTGGGCCGCGGTCCGTGCGTGGAGTTGGGGCTAGGGACGTCATCGGGGGGATTGCGACCATCTCATGGCCTGTGCCGAGGATTGCAGGGTTGGAGACCTTGGGGTTATTGTTTACCTAGTTTTATTATTAATTTTTTGTATGAATGGGGGTTTACTTCGAAACTATTGCCTCTAATGTCTATTTGAGTTGAGACGCGTCATTTTCTCGATTGGGACTAAAATTCCCAAATATAATATTTCATATTTGATAATTAATTAATTTTAAAAATCTTGCTCTGAATCTTGAGAGTTCAAATGAGTTGATGCACTTCGATTAATATTCTGTGGATCTGAAAAAAATATTCAACAACAGGCGATAAGTAATTGAGAAGAAGAGTCGGTAAATACAGTACGTACTTTACGTAGAGGTCATCACTTCCGGCAACACCATCAGTCGGAATAGACCAACAGCTGCATTTATTCATCCTTAACTCGTCGTCAATCATCACTCTTTTCGTATTTACAAAACATTTCAAGTACACTGTATGTAGGTAGAATATATTTCCAGACGTCTCAAGAAAATCACCCAGCAGATATTAAATTGCAGGAATAACAGCCGAAGAACAATCGTTTAATGAAATATCATGCACAACTGTCAACGTCGCTGTCGGGTGATGTCGCCGCCATGCAGCGCATGGCACAGGTCAGGTAGCCATGACCACGGACCCTTCGTGTCACGCCACGCAGCAAACAAGACCAGCTCTAGTGGCTGTGAACAACTTACACGTAATAACGTAATTTCTTAATTTCTGTATGATCAGACATCGTAATGAAAAATTCATTAAAAATCTTAAAAAAATAAGTCAGGACAAAATTTCCGAACTATTTTTAAGGTTTGTGTTGTAGCAGGAATAGTTTATTTGCATTTTAGCGGGTAAAATAAATCAAGTATTTTAAATAAGTTTTAATTTTTGGTATCACTCTTTTGCAATAGCCGCAAATTTACTACAAATATAGAAGCAAACAAAATTTCACGAAAATTCTCCATATTTATAGGTACAGAAAATTTTTCGGAGTCCAGCTCAATCGTCAGTTTGGAAATTCTGCAATGCAGATACAATCCGTAGATTGAGAAAAAGAATCTATAATTCAAGAAGAAAACTCTTATTAATTATTTTTTTTCTTCTTCTGTAAGAAGAAGAATCTGTAATTAAATCTGTAATGCATTATGGCGGCGTGTCCAATCCGTAGATAGTACAGTCGAAATCACATCACCAGGAAATAAATGTCTAACGAAGTCGTGGTCGTCTTCCTGAGAAAATCACATTAATGTCACAAACAGCGGTAACTATCCTCGCCGCATTTTGATCGCATACAAGTATTGATGTATTTTTATTGACCTCAGAGTATGTGTATTTTGAAGATTTTAATTAAATTAAATAATTATATCCAGTTGTTAAAAAAATTTAGATAGTCACAACTAGTTTTAAAATATACAAGCTACTTGTGAACCTATAGCTGTCCATCACAACTGAACGACACATATTCACACCATTTCTATTTAACTTAAGTGCTTTACGGACTAAAGTATTTTGCTGAGTAAAACATTTTCGTGGCCACATTGCGCGTGCTCCGCAGATGCTGTACGTGCTCGGCAGGCGTCGCTGGAGCTCACGTTTCGAGGTCAGAGATCGATGGATTTGCATCATTGAATGAGGCCGCGTAGAATTTGCTGTTGCGCGATGCGCAACTGTAACATTCGTAATTCATTAAAAGCCAAATTTTAATAATCTTTATTGCATAGCAGTACCGTGTGCAGGGCGACAATATCTGCGTATAATACGTTACGGCAACAACTGTATTTCGTTAAGGTTGCGTGTTTGAAACGTTATTTTAATATCTGTATAACGTCACAATAAAATCTGTAATGCATTATGGCAGCGTGTCCAATCCGTCACAACAATATATCTATAATACGTTACGGCAGAATTTGCAATAGGCACAATCGTTAAGGCACAAACACAATCTGTAATACGTTACGGCACAATCTGCATTACATTCATATTTTCTCATTTGCCATAGAGCATCGTAACTATAGCTATCACAAGGCTCTATATATATACGGGTAATACGGCAGCGTACGTGATACATTACACTGTTATCTGTTACATCAGAGGCTACCTACAAACATGCCGCTGTAAAAGCTGTGTCCGCACTAAGCCTACCAACTTGAGCTCTAAATTTAGCTAATGCAATTAATAATTATAATTAGACGATTTTAGCATAATTTCTTTTTACTCCAAAATAATTTTCAACAAATGATCTCTTCAAATATCAGTTTCATTGCCCTGCTGTACGTTGTACAATTTCATAAGTGTTGCAGGCAGCTGCTCGAGAACGTGGCTACATTAGTGCAAGCGATTATTGTGAGACGCTCTACGGTGCGGAATTTTCCAGATATTAAAGAATTTTCCTATCTGATGTGTGAAACATGAAGTTATCGGCTAATGGATCTAAGGCATTTAAATAATTCATGAGTATTTTTTGCCAGATATTCTGAAAGTGTCAGAGAATTTTGCACATTATTAATATTGCACTCTTTTGATCTAATTCACTGTAGTTCAAAGCAATGTTGAGAGAAACCGACTTTTCGATCCACAATGTTCTGATTATTTAGTAATTTAGATTATTTTTAGATTTATTTATTTAGATTTAATAATTTTGATTTGAAAATTTCGATTTAAACACTTAGATTTAAAAAATTAGATTATTTTTTTTCGGAAAGAAAGGGACAAATTCATTAATTTCAAGGCTTAAGCAATTGCCTTTCTCTTTTTATGCATATTAGAGAAAACCTATGTTTTCCTCGGTGCCAATTTAGAGCTTATCTTGTGTGTCATGATGCAGACTAGCACTCGATCAGTTCTTTCGTGCGAAATACTTTTTGTTCGTTCGTGTTCTAGCCCACTGGCCGATCTTGCATGAAATGTAAGCATTCAGGCTTATTGTTTAGAAGCTCATCAATCGGAAGGAAGAATGGAGCATATTTTATTCTAATTGTAATTGCAAATAATTTAAAAAATAAATAACAAATCAAAATTTCAACGACAGATAATCGGGATAGCAGAACAAAACACCTGAAGAAAATGAGAAAATCGTGTAAGTATACCTATACTGTTAAAGGAACGTTGAGAAAATTATCCTTCCACTTCTATTAATATCGTTATACTGAGAATTATGTCTTTTAAATTATGTTAAAACAAATGAAAGTCGTGTGTTCAAGGGCGTAATCTTAACAATATACTCTGCCGTTTGATGAACGACAAAAACCTGTAAGTAAACTAAATCATTTTGCAGAGTCCGTAGACTTTTACAATACAATTTCAAAAATTTCCAAGGGAAACTGAATCGTAACCAAACCACTTCTGCACGAAACTCATACTACTCAAACATACATACATACATACATACAAATCTCATTGAAACTTAGAATATCACGTCAACTAATGACGATAATTAACATAATTACCTTTTGGTCAACACATACTTATATCCGATGATGTTATAAAAGACACAAAACTGTAATGCTGCATTTGCCTTGAGTACATTACCGGCTGATGGTTCATGTGAACGCCGCGGTCGATATGTTCCTATCGGGTCGTCCGTTCTGGTTTGCTTCAGTAGCTTTGCAAAGGTGGAGTTGAAAAAATCTTTATTCCGATTCACATTGAAAAACACGTTCAATAAGAGAGTAGGTTACAAGAGCAGCATGACGGGACGCTACAAGCTTCCCAGCTCTGCACGGGTGTATGTAACCCTTACGTACTGACTGCCGGTCATTCCGAAGCAGACAAATGATAACTCTTAGCCAGGGAGAAATCCGCTTACATGAAAGATCGTAAATCTGACGATACCGAGAAAATTTGGCATGACTGAATTATTTACATCACAAATCAAACAGTAAAAAAGAAATATTTATAAATCCTAGTGACGACTATAAATCCTAGTATATTTCGTCTGTCCCTAGCGTGAGACAGACGAAATATAATACGCAAAATGACAATATAATACGCAAAATACTATAATTCTACCCTACAATTACGTGTGCTCCGTACTTTACCTCAGCGCGGGCGGCTTGACATCAAGTCATCAGGCGATTGATTGCCATTAAGTTTTGCGTAACTCATTCTTGCAATAGTAAACAGCATTGAGGTGAACGAAGAAGCAAGAGCTCATGTCTAAGCTCAGTGGTGCGTCGATAGATTACAGTCAAAGTAACCTTGTAAAAAAGTTCCAAGTGACCAAGAAAAATAACATTTTTTTCTTATTTTTAGCGCCTTTCATGAATTTTTTTAGTATTTCGTACAAAAAGTGTATATATTCGAGACTGCAATGAAGATATTTCTTCATTGCAGTGCAGTGAAGAAGAAGTGCATAGCAGTGCGCACAGTGAGCACATGTCCGCGTGTCCAACGCGCATCGACCCTCAACAACACAAGGTCAGGCACTCAGGGTCACTTATTAGCTCCTCGCACAACTGTGTGACTGCTAACTGTGTTGTGTAAACTTAGAAACGTACAATTAATATCTCCTCCGGGTAAAAATAAAATTTAGGGTTTGAAAAGAACAATTATTGTAACTACGAAGTTTTCGTGGTATTTATAAGTAATTTTATAAATATTTGTCGAAGATTGTGAGTTTTTATACTGTTTTATAAGTGACGCGGGAAATTTTTTGGGTCTGATTGGGCGTTTACCGACAATCCTTCTCTCATCGTACTGATCGCAAATTGACTTTTATGTATAGAAGTTCTGTGCTGAATGTGTTTACACTCCCCACATGTTCGTCGACACTCACGACATGTTCGTCGACACTCACGACATGTTCCTCGACACTCACGACATGTTCGTCGACACTCACGACATGTTCGTCGACACTCACGACATGTTCGTCGACACTCACGACATGTTCGTCGACACTCACGACATGTTCCTCGACACTCACGACATGTTCGTCGACACTCACGACATGTTCGTCGACACTCCCCACATGTTCCTCTACACT